GAGGCACTGCGGTGGCATTTGTTTTAATCTTGCCCTGGGCTATGGCACGCTGCAGGGAAAGTCAGCCCGTGTGAGGGGAAAAGCCCCCAAACCTCCAGCCTGTGGGCTTTGTGAGTCAAACCACCTTTCCCACAGATTCTTGGGGGCTCGTCTGAATTTTTAGGCTATTCAACACGTATTTTTATTCTTGGGGTCAACATGCATGTGCCTAACGTGGACCAGTATATGGGAATTGGTGCTGCTGACGCTGCTCTCCCTTCCCTCCTGCTAATGAGCACTTCGGCCCATAGTGCTGCAAGGGAAGCCCTAATGGAAACATCAGAATTATGTGAGAACTGGAAGCAGCATCCCATTCCTACCATGCTGCTCAGACAGCTCACACCGAGCCTCTGGATACCCCTTGGGTGCAAAAGATGTTTGTCATCTCAGAGCTGCATTTGTAATTGAGAAAAGCACATTCTGGTTGATTTTGGAGAAGCGAGGCAATGCCAGGCCCAGCAGCTCATGATGTTCAGTGTTCTTCACTTTGCTCCCTGAAGCCAAGAGCATCGCAGCCTTCTCCAAGGAAGGAGTTTTGCACTGAAACCAGCACATGAAGCTGCTTGAAACAAAATCACCAGATATCATAGCTTACCAAGCAGAGGGACAGACAGGCACAGCTCTCTTTGCAGCCCACTCACTGCAGGGAAATAATAACTCTCCTTAATTAGACCTGCAGGGCTCATGTCCCCTTCTGCAGAAGGCTACCATGCAGCTCATGGTGGGGACTTTCCTCAGGCTTTTCCTCCAAAGTGCCATTGGCCACCTTCCTCCCTGATTGATAACCCACTAAAACGACCCCCCAGAATGTTTTGTTTTGTTTTCCATAAAGTTTTCCAAGGGGAAATGAGACATTTCCAGATTGTAAAGGTCAAAAGGGTGGGAGCACCCCATAGTTTGCAGTGAATAAGAGCAGAGGAATGTTTGGAGAGCATCCATCTTCGTCCCACCTGGGAGGAGGCAACCAGCTCCAGGTGTAAATACGCTGCAGAACACATTGCTCCTCATCACTCCTACAGGGGCTGCAGCTCTGGATGCTGTGTGGTTCCTTCCAGCCTGGCTCCACACTGGGCTGCATTTCTGCAGAGCATCACATGCTGCTGGCTGCAAAAGGGCTCAGCCCTCCAACCACAGAGCGTTACAACCAATCCCAAATGAAACATGGAATAAATAAGAGACAGGATGGGTCTGATCCCCAAACTGCCTTTTTTTTTTTGCTTCTTAGCAAGAGAGGAACATTTTGAAGAGCATCAGAAACATGATGGAAAGTTGTTTTGCTGGATATTTCATAACCTTCTCACCCGAAGCACTTTGGCTGCTTTTTTTTTTAATATTATTTTTATTTTTCATAGCTTAAAAGAGGTTTTTATTGAAAATCTGTTTTTTTTTTTTTGGGAGCAAGAAAATCAATGAAAATATATCAGTTCAGGCTTTTGTTAAAGAACTACAAAAAGGTCCCTGTGTGCAAAAAAGAAAAAGCCTAAATGTCTCATTTGGATCAGACACTGAACTTTTAAATGTCTCATTCCGTGCCATGAATCCACACCGAATTCGGAATTGTACCCACTGGTTTGTGAAGATCCAAGTGCTACTGTGAGCAACTCATAAAGCAGAAACAAAGGGCTGAAAGCATTGGAGGAATGGTTTGCAATGATTTATTTGGCTAATTCCAGCCATGACGGAGTTCCTGGTGCTCCGATAATCTCTTTAGCATCGTCAGATTGTGCGTGGTGTGCGGCAGCTTTACCCAGAGCTGTTCCCTCCTGCCTGCTGTTAGCATTAAACAAACACAACATAGCGGTGGAGTGCAATTGATCTGACACTTTTCTGAGCTTTCTCTGCCCCCAAAGCATCGAGGTTTCCCTTTGGGAGGGTTCTGTGTTTCCACCCTTCTCCCCATGCCTGCCTTCCTCTAAGCGCTCGTTGCTCTGAGCACGCATCGCTCCTTCTTTATTTCTATTTTTTTTTTTTGCTGGACATATTCCAGCAGATCTGGACCGTGTTTGATATCACTCCCAGCAAAGCATGCAATGTGCAAAGATTTCAGTGAAGTGTGGAAGCAAAGCAAGAGATGTTTTTATCTCGCGGCCTCTTCCCCGCGTAGCCCTCAGCTCTCCATCCCAGCTGCATCCCCAGAGCCTCCATCTGTCCCAGAGGTCTCCTGTAAGGGTCGGGGATGCAGAGGCCAATGGGCGCAGCAGGGATGGGATGGAGGAACGGCCCAAACAATGCATCCTGTGCCTTGCAGGTTTGGGAGCAGGGGCAGATCCCACTGCAGCAGCTGAGCAATATAATACAATGCACAGTACAGACATTGTACATACAATAGCAGCTACAGAGAGGAGGAGGATTTCTGGAGCACTGGAGCAGCCATGTGGATGGGAGCATCCATAAGGACATTCCCAGAACTGCTGCAGGAGGGCAGGGAAAAAAACCAAGTCAGAGAAAAAGGAAAACCTCCCAAAACTCTTTGTCACAAAAGGCCGAGGTGGAATGCGACATCTTGAGAACAAATATATATAAATATGACGTGGAGAGAAATGTCTGTGCATAGTGGGAAATGAATGCATGCAGAAAGAAAAATGTCAATGTCAAGCTGTTCTGGTGAAACATTTCTCGCAGCTAACACTGCCATCCTGAATCTAAAAAAAACACAAATAAAAAAATAAAAAAAGAGAGTGATGCTTCATGTTCAAAACCCTTTGGTTTGGGTTTTGGGGTTGGATACGCAGCCCTTAACTGGAAATGGAACATCCTTGGCTCTGCTGTTCCAAGACAAAAGCCAGCCTGCGTCCATTTCCCCATTGCTCCAATTTCAGGACCAGCAGCAGACAAGGAATCCACTGACCACAGCACTAACAGCCTGAGCAGTGTGATAAGGTCACATTCAGGCAGCAGTCACCACTCCTCCTGTCACCTCTCATCAGTCCTTGCTCCCCAAATGCCATTTAATTAAAGATTCCTAAAGACTTTCCCTGCTTAAGACAATTCCAACCTGGGTTTTCATTGTCAGCACTGGGAATAGGCGGATTTGTGCAGGAGGATGAGCCAGGGGCTGGAAATGCTTCTCCAGTTCATGTGGATATTAAAAACAAGGAGCCCCTCCAGCTCTGTGTCCTCTCTGCCCTTAGATAAATAAAACACCAGGCTGAGCCCTGCAGACAGCAGCACCACCGGGGCCTTTCTCAGCCCTTCCCTGCTCGGCTGCTTCCCACATGCTGACTAATCCATTCGTTATTAGTTAATAATGAGCCATGCTAATTAACAGCAGGGACGGTGGCTTCCCCTGCTCTGTGCCATGTCACACATGCCCCTGGCATGTTAGATAAGTGAGGAGATGGCCGACACGGCTGCATGGTCCCCATGTGGGACAGGGACCTGCTTTTAGGGACATTTCCAGGTCTCCACAGAAGAGGAATTTTTGGATGGGGATGGAATTGTGCAGGTGGGCTTCACACCAACCCTACCAGCAGGCTGTGGGATGAAGGAGGGGATAGGATGTCTCACATGGGTGGGATACAGTGTTTATGAGACACTGAAGGGTCCCCATCAGGAAGACCCATCTCAGCCCTGTGGGGGAGCCTGAAAGGCTCAGATCTTCTCACACAGCCACAGTCCCAAATGAACCCCAGATGTGGGGGCTGCGAAGGCTTCACTGCCCAAAGGCACCTGTCTGCCTGCTCCCAGGGGGCATTTTGGGACAGGACACAACTGAAGGGGGAAAATCCCACCCAGGAGCTGCAGGGCAGGAGCAGCATGGAAGTGGAGTGATCTCAGCACAGAGCTGCTACTGCAGAGGAGCATCTCGGGCTGCGGAGCTGCTGGAGAAACAGATGGCACCGGGTTAAATGTGAACTGCACATCTAAAAAATAAAAATGGTGTTTGTGCCCTTCCCTGCACCTTTATGATATATACAGATACAGAACGGGGGTTTATTTTGTTCAGAGGAAAGCATTTTTCTCTCTCTCTCTTTTGGTTTCGGACTTTATTTCAGTGTCCGCCTGGCACAAGCTGGGGAGCGCAGCTGCTCTAGAGAGGGGCTTCAGCTGTGGGAATGGGAAGAGCTTTGGGAACAACCGAAGCTGCAGTGCAATTAATTGCAAGAAAATCCTAGCAGAGAGCATGCCAGCATCACCATATCCCTTGGCCATTTTCTGAACGGGCAAAGCTCTCCAAAAGAGCATGAAAGCAATGGGAAGATCTAAAAATGCCATTCTCCAGCTTTACAAACTCTGATCATGACTGCAGAAGGGGAAATGCCCTTCCCCACTCCACCAGGGATTGGGGCACACTCTCATTTTGCTGCTGTCATTAAAATGATGTCAGCATAATTACCTCACCCAATGAAGAAGCCTGCCCCTTTCTCCCATTTATCCTCTCAGAGTGCAGTTATTTGCAAAAGGTTGTGTTTCCATACAGGCTGGATTCAGAGGGGCAAATGGAGAGGTGAGAGCCCCTGCAGAAGGTTTGCAGTGAGACCACAGTGCAGCCCATTAATACAGGTGGGACAGGCAAACAAACGCTGTGTGCAGCAGGGCACGCAGACAGCTGCACTTAACGGAAGGACTGCTATTCAGTTGGAGACAAAAGAGAAAATGTGCATTTTTGGAAAAATAAAACTGCTTTTTTTTTTGTTCTTTTTTACTTTCTTTCATTTTCTGCAACCCAGCAAGAAAAATATATAATTCATGTTGAGATGGGGAACAGCTGAAGGATGTACAGCTGAAGCCGTGGCTGAAGCAGAAGGAGGGGACCCAGCAGGCAGGGGGTGCAGAGCTGGAGAGGGCAGCAAGCAGAAACACAGCATCATGAACCCCCCAGGGACTGCACTGCCTACTAGGCAGAGAGGTCAAGTGTTTGGATATGGTGTAGTAGCAATGCTGAGTCACAGCCTGAAGCAGTGATGAAGCACCTGGTAGGAAGGCAGGGCCAACCCAGGGCAGCTCAGGTGCATGCAATGCACTGAGTGATGGAAGGGATGGAGCCAGGATCCACCTCTTCCCAGCCCTCATTTAAGGGCTGGCAGTGGAGAGGAGGGGTCTTGCTGGAGGTCCCTGCATACCTGAGGCTTTTTGAAGGTAAGCAGTTTCTTTTTTTGTATTTTTGTGCCCACAGTTGTTGCATTTGAACATGTCCTCACTTGCTGCAGCCCAGGACTTTGCTACTCTGCTGTCATTCCCGCACTTTCCATCAGTTTACAGTGTTATTTATGGGCTTGCCAATTAATTAAACTTCTGGTTGGCCCTTTGAAGAAAAAGGAAAACAAGCCCTTTGGCAGGAGAAGTCTGAGGGACTTTTTCTTCCTCTTCAGCCAGTTGAAGTAATCCCACTGTCAGAGTAATTCCCTAAATTTCATCAGAAATGTGCTCCAGAAGCTCTTTGGGTTAGTAGTGGAACGCAGCTGTGTGCCCCCAACACTGTGTGTGCCCCTAACACTATGATGTGCCCCTAACACTATGTGTGTGCCCCTAACACTTGGTATGGCAAGGAATTATGCTTATCCTTGGTGTCACCTGCAAGATGCAGAGCTCTGGGCAGAAGGAATGCAATAACCCAGAGCTCACAATGCTCAGGGCACTTCGTTAGCTGGATTCTCACTTACACCCATGAGCACAGCTCCCACAGCCCTTCTCTGTGAGAAGCTCAAGTGCACCTGAGATGCAGCTCCTCCAGAGGAAAGAATCTCCTTGACTACAGGGAGTGAAGTGGGTTGGGATCATCTGGGGTTGAGTTAAATCTCCTTGACACCAAGGTGGGTGAAGGTTGTCCTTCACTTGAGAATGGAAATATTTAAGCTTCTTTCTGAGGCTTGATTTGCAAACTGAGGCATAGCAACTGCGTGGGTACAAAGAAACCAAGACCTCTCATCACCTGTATCTGAGCAAAGAAGCTTCCTTAACTTTCCTCCCAGCAGAGGTCTCTTCAGTGGAGCAGAGGTGTGGGCGATAGCTGGAGTCAAGGAACTCTTCTGGACTTGACTCTCAGGCAAACACAGCTGCAAATAAATGCCCAGGAGACAGTGAGCTTCACTGCAGTGGTCCACCTGAATGCTGAGCTTAATTAATCTAAAAGATAATGTGGTGATGTGAGTGTAGAGGGAGAGATCTGGTGGCTGCATCTCTTGCTGCTTGGGGATGCAAATGTCTCTAGGAGTTGATAGTGGAAAGAAGTTGGACCATAAGAAGTGGAGTTGGTGGGGGATGTGTCTCCATGAGGAGGAGGAAGAAAGGATTTGGCTGTGATACACAAAAAGATGCTCATCTTCTTCTGAGTGGGTAGTGAGGCTGTAACAAATGCAATGTGATAATATCTCGGCTGGCATGCGTTCAGATAAAGTGATGAGAAGTGTTGCTGCTTGGGAACAAGAATTTTGGAGATAAGGTTCACTGAGACTTCCAGGATCTTCAGAAATTCTTTGGGAGTCATCTCTGATGCTACTGAAGACCTTGGTGATATGACTTAGGGTAGGGGACACCCACAGAGCCCATCATGGGGGTCCCCATGCTGTCACTCCATGCTGGCAGAGCAATGGGATGCGATGCATTTGCTGACTCACTGCCTTTCCAGGCAGTGCTGAATGACCTTTTAGGAGCTTCTCTTAGCACTTAATCAGTATGTGGCATCCTCGAGACTTCTCAGGTGAGACACACTCTTCCCTGAATAACAGAACAAGTTCACATATGAATGGTAAAAGAATGAGATTTTTGCCATCTGATTGCAGCCTGTTCCCATGACTGACGCACAGAGGCAATGCTTGCTTTGGTGCACAGCCTGTTTGCTATCTCTTCACCATACTTGTTTCTTTGAATCCTGAACAGCCTCCAGATCATTCAGTGATCCTTGCAAGGTGACACACGGCTGTTCTCATTGCAGGGACAGCAAAGGGAGAAGATAACTGACTTGGCAGAGGTTGCAGTGAAAACCTGCAGTGGAGCACAGCCTCAAACTCTGCTTTCCCAACATACCTTACCCCGATTACAGGTTGAACCATCACAGCAGAGGAATAATGTCCATATCCTTTCTTTACACCAAAAGAAGATGCTGGAGGCATTTGGCCTCTGGCTGAAATTCAGATTCCTCCCCTTTGAATTGCATCTTCTGCTATTGCTGTGTTACAGCAGAGGAGTGATGTCGGCACACCCGTGCTGGATGCTGCCCACATTCAGCAGCTCAGTTATTGTTATTGCTGTTGTTACAGAATAAATCATTCCTTAAGCTCCTCTCTTCCATGGCAGATTGTCCATGAAAGACTTGCAATCTCTGCACGGAGACACAGGTTGACAGACTAAATCAGATCAGTAATCAAATCCAGATCCCATCTCCTACTACCTGCTATGAGTTATTGGTACCAGGAAGAGTGGAAGGAGAATTTGCAGGCTGCAGTTCAGGAGGAAAGAAACAGGGAAGGTTTCTACTTAGATCTGAGCTAGAAAAAAAATGTGGAAATCTCCCGTTTGCATTGTTTATCTAATGGTATTAACTCTTCTGTTTCTGGACATGAGGGTATAGCAGATATAACATCTGCTGTCTGCAGATGTGAAGGAACTGGAGCTCAGAACAGGCATTCACAGCTGCTGACACCAAAGCGGGGGGCACAAGGGCTGAATGGAGCAGGAAGGTTTCTCTTCAACCTGGACAGAAGTTATTTGGAGTCCTGATTCATACATGAATGTCTTGTACTAAAACTTATCAGCCACAGCAATCCCCCATTTGGCATTTGTGGCACCAAGAGGTGAAAATTTGCCCTCAGAACAGTTGGAGGAGGAACTGTGACTTGGATCTCCATGTTTCTTCATTGATTTTTGTTTTCCTTGTGATGTAGGTCCTCTTGCTCGTATCTTCTGATACAAGCTGAGGTTTCCTTGCCCTCAAACTCAGCATGGTCTCATTGCCATGGATGAGAAATCAGAGGAGCACAGCAGCACTGGTCCCTGTGCAGCTCTGCACTGAGGTCAATACTGAGCTTGTTTCTCATAATAGAACTCCTCACAGAGACACAAGCAAAGCTATGGGCTCAAAACTGCACTTGTTGCTTCTCTTAGGATTTTTGGCTCTAAATCATCCCTATTTGGAGCAATTACTTGATTTTTACAAAGGATGAAGATTGGAGTTGTGATTATTTAGTTGCATCAAAATAGAGTTTTCTTCATTTGGCAGTGGAGATTCAAAGCTTTACTTCATGCTGTGGGGTTTTCTGGCATGAATTTCCATATCCCCCTGGTGTTGGCAGAGAGGGCAGTGCTGCCTGGGTGTGCAGCCCCCACCTTCCTGCTGCTCCAGGGGCAGCCAGTGCTGAGAAAGCAAATGGGAGGATGGATTTCTTATTGTACCATTCTAATAAAGTGACAGGGATGGAGCTGGATGCCTCCCGATGTACAGCAAAATCCAAACAAGTCTGAAGCTGCCCCTGCACCCTTGCCTCAGTTTTGCATTTGTTTCTACATGCGACTGAGTGCCAAAGTATCAGCAAAGAATGAGCAAGGCCCTTCTGCCACAGCAAATAAAGCAGTGGCTCAGGAATGGGGGCGAGAGATCAAGCACCCAGTTTCTTTGTGCTGGAGAACCACAAGCACTCGTGGTTAGGTTTCATCTCTCCTCAGGAGAGGTTTCCACTTTCCAGACCCATGCAGGCACTCACCCCACCGCTGGGGGTTCATGTCCAAGTGGGATTGAAGTCCCCTGCCCCTATTGCAAAGCACTGACAGCTGCCTGAAGCCTAGGGTTTATTCTCTCTTATGAAAAGCCACTTATACAGACACTTACCTCCTTTTATTTTTTCAACTGTAGCACCAAGTTTATCCTCTCTCCTCCCATTTGCACTTATTCTTTCTATATTGCAGCTGCTGCTTGGTGAGGGGCACGCGTGTTTTAAAACACTGCAGTGGGGCTGCAGCTGCATTAGCAGGAGAAAAACCTCATATTTGCCCAAAGGAGGAGTCAGAATCCCATCTGGATTTAGCAAGGTCAGAGTGCAGCCGACCTGAAGCTGAATGCCAGCATGTTGCTGTGTGTGCTTTCAGGTGACACGCGTTTCTCGCTGGAGAAGAGATTATATCCAAGCAGTGGGATGCAGCCATTAAGAAGAAAAACTCACTGCTGCCCCATGCAGCACTCATCCAACTGTAAAAGAAATCCCTCTCCTTTCTATGCTGGTGGTAATTAAAACCACCAGGCTTGTGTCTCATACCTATCCCAGGGAAGGATCAGGCTGTGCCTTTGCAAGGGTTGTGGGGTTGCACTTTGTGCACTCAATGCTTCGTGTGCCACTGGCTTTTGGTGGATAAAAGCTCCATCATCTGCATCTTTTCCCAAACCTCTTCCTTTTGCAGCACTCCCACCCACAGAGGGTAAGGAAGGGTAGATGTGTGTATCAGGCCGTGGACGCTTCCACCCCCAAGACCTGATTTGCCATTGAGGGAGCATTTCTAATAGTTCATGCAAAGATTTTTGTGGAATAAGGTAAGCCCATGGGAGTGCCTCATCTCTCTGGGGAGAGCTGCTTGGTAGGAGCTTTGGGTTTGCTCTGGCAGTGTGGTTTCAGAAAAAACCTTTTCGGTTTCCAAGGAGGAGAAAGTGAAATATTTTTCTGGCTATCAGAGCCATAATTCAAGAAAAAAAAATGTGGTAGCAGAGGTGGATGCCCACTAGCCCCAGATTGAGGGATATTCTATGATGCTTTTGCCCTTCCTCCCCTCATGGCAGCCCCAGAAGAACTTCTGAGCTCCTGCTTCCCCAAACAGGGCTCCTGGATGCACTCTGCTTCAAGGGGAAAAGCAATTGATGCCAGATTTGGCAGCTTTGGCTCCTGCTACCCATGTCATAGACAAGGGCAGATACTGGGTACTTCCCAGCTGGTTTTTGAAGAGCATTGTCATATAGGTGGTATGGATATGGATGATATAGATGGGAATGGCATAGGAGTAGGAGTAAGTGTAGGTATGGGTGTAGATAAATTGGATGGATTCTAATAGGGAACGATTGGGATATAGATGATATGTCAATGATAAGGATATAGATCAAATTCACGTGGATATGAATATATGTAGTATTGGTGTGAATGTGATAATACAGATATCAATACAGACAGACATAGATATATACACAGATATAAATACAGATAAAGAAGATTCAGATGTGGATATCTAGATGATACCAGATGTAGATGCAAACATGCTGCTACGAGAAAAAAACTGGTTTTCTGCAGGCAGTGGCACAGTTTGACCACTCAGCCATGCTCAGAGGAGAAGGAGAGCATCACCCACACACCAAGAGGTAAAAGCAAGGGGAGAAAAGTTGAACCAGTCGACTTGAAACTCCTGCAGAACCCCCCGCTGGGAGAAAAAGCATTTGTTACATTAATCGGTGCTGGAGATAGTGCCAAACAAATGAAAGTTATTAAAGGAAGGGAGATGGATGGAACTCAAGTCATCCGTTTGTTTTGCCAGCGCCAAATTCGTTTCCAGAAAAAGCCCTTATCAATTTCCAGGGAATAGTTTGCCCTGTCAGTGTCGACTGGGTGTTAATGTTCTTTACGGCTCCGTTAGAGCCGGTGCAGTGACACCAATCTAAATAAGGGAGGAAGGAAGGCTTAATCAGCCTGTCACTGACCAGTTATTAACATTCGAGAACAAGGGCATTAAAGGAGAAAATTCTGAGAGGTCAATTTGTACTTCAGGAGAGGAACCAAAGAGATAAGGAGAGAAAACTTGGAGGAGAAGCGCAGCACCGGGCAGCCTACAGCCACAGGAGAGGGGAGGACACCTCTGCAAGGCACCCACAGCACTATCCATCCCTAGGGATGAGCACTGAGCAAGCAGATGCTGACCCCTGGGGAGGACCTGAACGGTGAAGGGCAGAAAAGGCATTTCCCCCAGTGAGGGACCCCAGCTCTCCCTGTCCTTGGCAGTGCTGTCCCCTCCCCACTCACACCCCTGGGGTGGCTGCATCTCCATGGGGCCGTATGTGATTGCTGCACAGCCCCATGGGATGAAAGCTGTGTGCTTAGATATGGTTTATCCCTTCCAACCCCTGATGATAATCCGGGATTAGTCCTTCCAGCGTATGATTACGTTTTGCCCACTTGCTTTGAAATGACACCATTCTGGCCCTTTTCTTTCAGCTTGTCCCACCAACCCTTAGGAAAACTGTTTGCCAGGCTCTGATTAAACCCTGCATGAAGCAAAGTCCCACCGGGATCCCAAACAACTTCACGTGTCCATTCTCTCCCCTTCTCCTCTGCTGAGCAGCCCTATCTCTCTGACGTCCCCATGGGGACAGGGCATGCCTCACTATGCACAAGTGCATATATTCATCTCCTGTAATAAATATGCAGTTTTGCCAGCAGCAATGACTCCTGACCATCATTCCCCCAGGCAGATGGATGCATTGGAAGAAACCATCTTGTAATGTCAGCCGGGCTCCGTCTGGGAGCACGGCATCAGCTGGGAAGCCAATGCTGCTGCTCCCCATTAGGTTTATTCGCTATCTGTGTTGCTGGGCCATTAAAGGAGCTGTGTGAAAGCTGTCTGGCTGTTCACAGGAGCAGTGGAGCAGCAGGAGAGACAGCAGCCGTCCCTCAAATGATTTCTCCGGGGGGAACAAAAAGAGAAATAAAAAAATTCAGTGACAGAGGAGTCAGGAGAGCCAACTTTCTTAGTAGTTTTTTATTGCTATTATTATTTATTTATTAAGAGAGGAGATCTGTTTTGTTTTCAAGTTCATTTCACGTGTTATTCCTGCTTTAAGAGTAAGGAACCTGACTCTGACACCTCCAGACCCTGTTAAGGCTGATGATGCTCTTTGGGCCAACTGTGCTGCTGATGGTTTGTTGGCTCCTGCCTGAATGAATGCTACAACCTTGTGTTCAGGGTTATACAAAGGATGAATGGATGCTTCTGCTGCAAAGGTGGATGTAACCCTCTGATTCTTATGGCCCAGTGCTTGATCCAGCCTTGGTAGCCCCAGTTAAGTTTTGAGTGAGAATGCAAATCTATTGTAATTCACTGGAGGGGGAAAATGTAACACTGAGCCTCCAGGCCCAGTTGTTGCTGCTCCAATGGCTCCTCCTGTAAGATCTGAATCCATGAAAGATGATTTTAATACCTGGAATGTCACAGGGGTATTTGTTTGGTGACAGCGCATGTTAAAGTCAACCAGCCCGAATCCAACCAATAAATAAACTGAGGCTGAAAGTTGGGCTTGCCACAATGCATATGGGAGGGGAGGGGGGGAGATAGATGGGTTTTATTATTGCTATTATGGCTATTATTATTATTATTATTTATTGGGTAAATAGAAGGAAAAGCAGTTCTGTCTCCTAGTCCAAAGGCCCAATTGCCTCGGCTGGCTTGCAATGACAGTTCTGTGAAGCAGCACAATAGCAACAAATTATAAATCATTGCCTTTTGTTTCAGATTGAGTGCTGAGAGTCAGCGACTCACCCTCCATTGCCTTTCCACAAAGAGGGCTCAGGAGGAAAATAGAGCTCAATAGGAACCCCACACCAGTGGGGCTGAGGGCTGTGTGCTCCCATTCCATTCCATCCCTACTGCCCCCTGAACACAGTGGCACACAGCAGGATTGCAGAGCAAGGGTTGCCTGCCATAAGCCAACCCAAACACCACCATGAAGTGTTGAATTTGGCTTCCCTTTCCTCATTAGAGCTGATTACACTAATCAACATGTTTGTTTGGGGTGGATGTATTTTGTTGTCCTTTTTTTTTATTATTATTTCTTTGGAACATGAACAACTTGGCTGTTGCAAGAGAGGGAGTTCTCAAGGGGGACTACAGAGACCATCCACCTCCTCCTGTATGTGGATGGGTGGAGCAGAGCCTTTTTGCATGGCACCAGAGTGCTCTGAAAAGGATTAGTGCTCTCCTAGAAACTCAACCACAGCCTTCCATGGAATGGTTTGCTACAATGCCTCAGTTTCCCCCAAGGAATTGCAGGTTTTGCTCTCACCTCGCTGTTAGATTAGATTCATTTCTGCAAAGAAGAGATGTAGGGATGCTGGACCGTAATGCTGGCTGGGTTACCCAGGGCAGGATGCACCGTGCTGCAGTGCACATCCCCTGGGATGCAGTGCTCGGTGCATGGTGCTGCCGAGCTGCTCAGGTTTTAGCCAAAGCTGCTATAGCAGCGAGACACCACTGCTCGCACACTTCAGTCCATTAAACCTACAATGGATGATCCCCGTGGATTAAATAAGACTGTGATTGGGAAGTTCATTTGAAAGCTTTCGCCAGTGTGAGCTCCGAACTGCCCCAGCCTGCTGCCTTACCACCTCAATCAGCATTAAATTCTGGATCAGCCTGGCTGATTTCTGAAGACCTCACATCTAAAGGTCAAGCAGATCTGCTGCTGAGAGGGAGAGAGGGGCAGTGGGAAGCATCGCTGCCAGTCAGGGAGCCTGACGGGCTCTGTGTCCTGACGCCAACAGAGCCCAGGGACCAAAGGGAGCAGGCAAAGCCCTGAGGCAGCCCCGGAGCAAACAGATCCAGAGTTTTCATGAGAAGAGGAAATGTCTCCATAAAGCAGTGCTGAGCAGCAGGAACGTTGCAATGTCCAGAGCAAAAGGTTTGGTTTAGTGGAGTTTTTTATTATTATTATTATTATCTTATATATGAAATTTTAGGGGAAATAGAGCTCATTCTGGTCCAAAAATCAAAACATGAAGGTGAAGCCATAGGGTAGAAAAGGAGCAGAAGTTTGGACCTGCTCCAGCCAGACTCAACCCTTCCTCTGCCTTCCTCCTCCTCTTGCCCTAGAACATCTCCCCTTTCCCTCTCCCCAGCCCACTCCCAGATACAGAGCAGCTCCCTTCAGCCCTCCCAGTGGCATACACCAAGCTGCCCACCAACCCACTGCCCTCATCCCTGCTATCAGCATTAGAAAACCCACAGCAGTTCATTCCATCATTACTGTTTCAACAAGGCTGCCATGTGATAACGCTCCCGGCCCATCAGCGCTCGCAGCTGCACGGCAGATTAGTTATATTGTGCTGCAAGGCACCCAGCAAAACCAGCAGTGAGGCACTTACAGAATTAGGGCCTGGCACTTAATCGCTTTGCTGGTGGCTGCGTGTTATTAAATTCCCCCGAGTTCAGCAACTTTGTAGCCTAGCTCCAGTTTTTGTTGTTGGTTTTTTTTTTGCTACAAGGCTCAGAGCAAAGTTTGGAGTGCCTGGAGAGCTTGGGTGAGCCAGGGTCAGTAATGGCATCCAAGAAGTGTTTTTCTTTTAATGCCACCAATCTATCTCGGTACTTGAAGCAAATAGATGAAGGCACTGGTTTCTCCAGGGGGCTGAAACGACTCAGTCCTGCTGAAGTCAGTGGGTGTTTGGGATGGAATTCCTCTGATCTGCCTTTAGATGGAGATATCTTCAACACATGATTCATCTAATCCTTATTAAAAACAATTTGGGATAAGTTGCCCTCAAGTGGAGTCTCCTTATAAAGAAAATACAGAGAGCCCCAAAACTTCTGGTCAAGTCCTTCCTCTGACTTGCTGTTCCCTCCAGGGAAGATTCAAGGAACAGAAGAACAGTTGGTCCAAGGAGATGCTGGCAAAGCCTTGCCCATCCAACACTGAAGGATTCCCATTCCATAATAAAGGACACCCATCCTGTACCAAAGGACTCCCATCCCATGTCAAGGGACACCCATCCACACCAAAGGGCACCCATCCACAGCAGTGTCTGACCCATTTCCACCCTGCACAAACTCAAAAAAAGAGAAGAGTGGGAAAGACAGACTCCTGAGCCACCTCTCTGCTGTTTTCCAGCTCAGTCTGGAAAACCTCCTGATCACCCACCTCCACCAGGTTTAACCCAGGTTCCTTCCCTCACCCCACCCAAACCAACCCTGTGCTCTGAGGAAAGGCCAAGAGTGCGCAGCTTCATTTAGAAAGCAGAGAGAAAAACAGAGTAAGAGCATGGACTAGAAGCATATTAATATTTAATCACAGCAGGCCAGAGGTTGCCGAGGCAATCGCTGTTAAATGTTATTGAAACAAAGCATTCGCATTCCCAGTGTGTGGGTAGTTCAGGAGCTGCCTCTCTCCGGTCGGTGCTCAGGACCACTGCCATGGGAAAATCTTCCTGCAAGTACTTCTCCCTGGGGAGGGGAGGAGAGAGTCCTCAGGTGAACGGGGAATTTCCCACTTGGATTTCTATTGAAAAGCAACAAAATATACCGGGGAAAAGCAGTGGTCCCATACACCAGGGCTCAGTGAGTTGGGGGTTGTATATTTGTATACCCAGCTGTTAGTGCGGGCCACTATGTGGACGTACAGAAGCAGGGGGTGTAGTCCTTTTCTTGTCCTTCTCCATCTTTGGCTCTCCCACCAAATACCTCCTCCACCTTCTCTCTCTACTGTCCCCCTGCCCAATATAAGATCCTTTTCCAAAATTAATGAAGTAGCCCATGCTCTGTAGGTGTTTCACTCCTTTACTGATGTTTTGGTGGCAACTTGTCCACATTTCCTACAGCAAAGTTCTCAGAAGACACCAAGGAGATGTTTGGAAATGAGCTTCAAGGCTTGGTGTTATATCATACACTGCGTTGCTTTAAGTCCTGCGAACGGTTAAAGCTTGAGCAGCAGCTCCTCACCACCTGGTCTGACATGTCATTAGCAGGTTTGATATCTCACTTTCATCAAAGTGGGATTTCTTTCCTGAGAATTAATTCTGATTTTTGCCTGCGCACAAATCATTAGCCCAGCTCTCCAAATGAAGTTCTAACATTTCCTGTCACCTCCTGCTCCTCACCGCCCACAATTCCTTAAAGCTGCTGCAATCAAGACCTTGAAAAGCTAATCAATTAGGGCCCAGTGTATGGAGAGCTCATGAGCCACTCTGAAGAACCCAACACATCATTACCAAGCTTGTGAAGTCTCCGCCTAAAGAGCAGATGTGTAGAAAGCAAAAGCATAGTGTGGCGCAAGGTTTTTTCCCCCACTTTTACCTTCATCCCAGTTCTCCTGGATGTGTCAAAGCAACTCTGACTCCTCAAGTGCTTTACAATAAGGAGAGGAAACTTGTCTTCTCCCTCTTGGCAAATGGAGATGCTGCACATAGGCTGGGTCCTCCACATGGCTCTGCATTATAGACACCCTGAGCCAAGCGGTGTGGGTTATTCACCCAGAGAGTTACACCATCCCCACATTTCCTTGGAAAATCACTTTTTAGAGGGTTGAAGTGAGTTTTCCCCTGTCTTTGACTGAAAACACCAGAGTCCTACAAAAATGCCTCTCCAAAGTGCTCAGGTCTAAGCCACCAGCCTCAGCCAACCTTTCCCCTGAAGTTAAACCCAAGCATCTGCATCAAAATATGAGATACAGCGCTTGCCTGCCCTCAGATTTTGAGCAGAACAGTTGTCTCCATGGAAACCCACATTTTCTCTTTTTCCCCTATTTTTTTTTCAGTTCAGAAACCAGCACCACAGCAGGGAGCGATGTATGGGGCGAGGTGAGAGCACCCACTGTGGGCACCAGAGCTGCGGGAGAGACGAGTCCTGTTTCACTGGAGAAGAGCTGTTTGTATGGGATATACCTCCGAGATTTCTCTAGAAAACCACTCC